GGCCGCGAGCGGCGGGCGCGCGGGCAGGCAGCGTTGGCAAGCACCTGGAGGGCGCACGCGGCGCCAGAGACGCCCGCGGCGCCAGCGGCCTCTGCGGGCACGAGGCCGGGCGGGGCCGCCGGCCCGGCGCCGCAGGCCGCCAGCAGCGTGCAGGGCGGCCGCGGCAACCGCCCAGACCACCGCAGCCACGGCAGCGGCGGCGGCGGCAGCAGGGGCCGCCACAGGGTCGCCGGCTACGGCCGAGACGGCCCCGGCCCAGCGCTGCCGCGCCAGCTGCGGGCGCCGAAGCCGCCGAGGCCTCGGGAGCGCCAGCGGCGGCGTCGCGGCGTCACACCCGCGGGCGGCGGCAGCCCGGCGCGGCCGCCGCCGCCGTGCCGCGGAGGGCACCTGGCGACCGCCAAGCAGCCGGCCAGCGTCAGCGGAGGGCCGTCGGCGTACAGCGCCAGTGGCGGGGCGCCAGCGGCGCGCGTGGCGGCCGCGGGACTTGCGGCGACAGCGCCAGCAGGGGGGCCAGCGCAGGCGGCGGCCGAGGCGCGCGTAGCGCTGGCGGCGGCGTCGCCCAGCGCAGCGCCGGCGGCGGCCAGGGGCGCCAGACATGGCACCGGAGGGGGGAGGGCTGGGACGGGGCACCCCTTGCCGGCCCCTCCCCCAAGGGCGCGCCGGAGGTCACGTCGGGGCCGACCTCCGTCCCCGAGGCGGTGGCCGTTGCGGCTCCCTTCGAGCCAGAGCGACTTGAGCCAAATGCACCAGAGGCTACAGGCGCACGCACGCACGCACGCACGCACGCACGCACACACACACACACACACATCCGCACACACAAACTTTCGGAGTCGTGGCCCTGCGCGCAGCGACAGGGCGGAGAAGGTCTAAAAACAGGAAGCGCGCGCGGAAACTAGGAGCGCCCGAGACCTCAAAGAACGCTCTGGATCTCGCAGCCGCCATCAGCCATAAGCCATCTGGTCGTGGATTGCAAAGGGGACGGTGGGTAGACGAAGCTACGGTGCGGTGAGGTTGACCAGGACTGGAAGGCGGGGGGATCGAGTAAGCAGCGTGGAGCGACCAGGAGAACGAGTAACACACACACACATACACAAACACATACTCTCACACATACACACAAGCACACACACACACACGCGCGTTGGGGGGGGTACACACAGTGTTCGTTCCTGTCTAGTTGGAGTCCGCTTGGCAGTGATATGTTGTGCATGATTCCGGCCGGGTTCCGATTGGGGCATTTGATGACCTCGCAACGGTGACAGCGTTCGTGGTATTGGTAGTCGTGGTGTGATAATACATCAATAGTAGGGTGGTGCGCTTCACAGAAGAAGAAGAAGAAGAAGAAGACGTCGTGCACGTCAGACATGCATGGGCAGGAAAAGTAAGCGCCGACGCTACCGCCGCCAGGCGCTGTGAAACTATGAAGCCACCCCGCGTCGCCAGTTCCACGGGCAGGTGGTCTCTAAAAATCTGTTCGTGCAAGCCCTTCTCGCCAGGAGGCCCCCAGATGGACGACCCGGGAGAGCACCAGCAGCACGGGGCAGAGGAGGGGACGACTCCGGGGACCAGGAAGAACCCGGAACCGGGGGAAGGAGGAGGGCGAGCGACCGGGAACGACAGCCGAGAAGGAGGGAGGAGGGCGAGACCCGGGCGACAGCCCGAGGGACGAGCGGGAGGCAGAGCAGGCAGAAGAACGACGCAAGACGGCGGATGAGGGGGGGAGGACGACACCACCTGTGGGGGGGGGGGGCGGCATTCAGGCTTTGGCGTTTCATCCCTAGGGCACATGACAAATTGACATATGAGGACCCCTGCCGGGTGAGTGTCCGTAAAAGACGGTGAAGGGGAGGGGAAGCGGGGGAGAGGCAAAGTTTACAGTCGGGGCGCTGCAGAAGGATCCCTTTTCGTTGGGGGCTCCGTGATCCTTGAATGTTATGCAGTTTGCCTTCGGTTTTCCTGAGGTTTTCCATTGAAAATCGAAGTGCCACTTGTGGGCAAAAGGGGCCTCGTTCCTTATTTCTCGTTCCTTAGGTCAACGCCCCGACGGTATGTCAAGAAGAAGTGGCTGGCAGCTGCCTGCCACATGCCTGGTGGGCCTTGCCACAATCCGTGCAGAGCACTCGTATCTCCGGCTGCCCTGACGGCCAGATCGTGGACTTTCCGCTTCCACATGTTTCTGGGCTTTCCCCTCTTGCGGGGGCCGTCCTTTCCTGACAAAGCGAAGGAATGTGATTGAAACACGCAGAGCCGAACGGGGCTGTCGTTCGGAAGAACAGCGATCCGTCCCAGCAAGCACATTTGCCTGTACGCAAGCGTGGTGCTGAGTTTACGGCATTTGCATGTCTGCAGCACGGTCTCGTTGGAGACGCGGCTGTAATATGAACGGCCGATCCCAGCCACCCTGCGCCGACACTGCGCTTGAAATGCTTCTAGCTTGTTGCTCTCAGAAACGTTAAGCCACAGCGGGTGGAGGCAATACATTAACTTAGCTACTACGCAGGCTTCGAACATAGCAACCTTTCTATGCAGAGGCAATCGCGCGTGCTTCCAGATGCTGCGGAGTGTGTAAAAATCTCGATGCGCCATGCCAAGTCTTCTGCTCAGTTCGGAGCTGCTGGAGCCCGAGGAATCCAAGAGGCCTCTGAGGTACGCCATGCTGTCCTTCTGCGGGATCTGCGCTCCGTCGCGCCTGCGAATGTCAGCGTCCCAGCGCACGGGCAAGGCTTCCAACCGGCCCCAATTAAAAGCCAGTCCGTAATTCTTGCTTGCCTCTGGGATTGCCAGTATCAGAACGCCGACAAAGTCGGCGGTCGAGCCGACCATCAGAGTGTCGTCCGCGTAGGTGGGCTCCCCGATTGGGAAGCCGTCTGTCGCCTGGAAGCCCCTGTGCTGGAAGGCGGCCTTTGCGCCGTGCATCAATACGGCCATGACGATCGAAAAGAGAAATGGTGATAGCGGGCATGCCTGAGATATCCCAAACTCCTGGGGATGTTGCTCCGACGTCGCTCCGGCGTCGCGGACCCGGAAGGAGCGATCCGTGTAGATCGACTGCACGACCTCGGCAAAGAAGCTGGGCACGCGGAGCCGCGCAAGCGCTCGCACCAGGGCGTCCGGCGAGACGCTGTCGAAGGCCTTCGCCCAGTCCAAAGCCAGGAAAACGAGCTTGCCCGATTTCGGGTCCCAGACGTCTTCGATCAGTCTCCTCGCAATGAACAGGGCCTCGGTTGTCCCGCAGCCTGACCGAAATCCAAACTGGGTGTTCCAGGTCCGAGACTCCGCTCCAGCACGCTTTCGCCTGTTGAGCAATACCGATGCGTAAAGCTTGTAGCCAATTGGAAGCAAGGAGAGGCCTGTAGTTTGTGCATTGCGCTGGGTCCCCCTTCTGGAAGAGTACTTTCACGACGGCCTGGTGCCTCGCGTCCGGCACCGATTTCTCCTCCCAGCATCGGGTGCACAGCAAGGTCGCCCATTCGCACTCAGGCGTGCCTTCCTGGCATACTACTTTCCAAAATTCGGCAGGGATACCATCTTCACAAGCGGCGCGGTTGTGCTTTAGCCCGCGGGCCGCCCGGCATACTTCCGACTGGGTGACGGGGTCGGTGGGGATGTCGAGCACGGGGCCCAAGTTGTCGAGGTTATCCGCAACCGTTGTCGGGCGCACCGCCCACTGCACATTGGAGAAATACTCCAGCAAAGTCTCAGCTCTCTGGTCGCTGTCCACGAGCTGGTCGTTGGCATTGCTCATTCTCCCCTGGGCTGCGGCAGTATCTTTCCCCAGTTTTCTCACCTCGTTCCAGTCGCCGTCGGCCAGTCGACTGTCGAGCCAGACTGTTCGATCTGCTTTGACAGACGCCTTGATCCGTCCACTCAATACCTTCTCGCGCGCGAAATCCCGGTTAGCTCTCGCCTCGCCGCGGGATGAGATGCGCTGCAACGTCTTGTCACTGATCCAGGGTCGCCGCCGCACGGCCGGGAGCGCAGGCAGACAGCCTGCGGCAGCGTGCCGGAAAGCCTCTGTGATGCCGTTGTTGAGCTGGTTCAGGGAGTTTTGCGGCGCGCTGTTTTCCAACATGTGCTCCGCGAAGCTGGCGCGGAAGTTCTGGGCCACGGCGACGTCGGCCAGGGCTGTTGTGTCTAGACGCGGCCCCCTGGCCACGCGCTTCGCTGCCAGCGCTTCGGTGCGCTTCACAGGCTGATGATAATTGCGGCGTTTGCCATCGCTTCCACTGCGTCCAAGTAGCCCCTAGCAAATCACGGAGGAAGTACATACCGCTGGTTGTTCAGGGCCAGTGCACGGAGCATTTGATATTGTGTAAGTGTGTTCCCTTGTGTCCGAAGGATCTAACTTTGGACGATCAGTCGTATGTCGGCGTCGGTGGTCAAATAGCTGGACCAGGTAGGTGTCTTCCCGGCGGCTGTGCGGCAGTCGTTCTTCAATGTTGCGCGCGTGGTCGCGTGGTCAGTGGTGATGTGCCACCTCGTCGGCAGTAGCGCCCGCCATGACATTGTCCTGGATCGCACATGCAGCTGGCACGGGGGTCAAGAACAACCCAGGCTTGGCAACAGTACCCTGATGTTTCTTCGTGTTTGTGATCTCCACCTTAGGATGTCCTTCGTCTTGAGCATCTCCACAGGGGCCTTGGTCCCTCGGCGAATGGGCGCAGGTTCTTGGCCCACGCTCTTGCGGGTCCGTGCTTTGACTGTAGGATCGTTCGGCTCTTGCTCTAGGCATCCTAGATGAGGTCGGAGGATTGCGCCGCATCGCCGATGCATCGGCGATGCATCGGCGATGCGGCTCGATGTGGGGCCTAATGTTCTCCACGCCGACGTCGCCGATGCATCGCCGACGCCGCTAGCGCATCGCCGATGTATCGGCGATGCGGCGAGATCCTCTGACCCCACCTACTCGGACCCCATCTAAGAGGCCTCTACTTGCATGTTCTCGCTGCGGGGTCGTCGACTGCGTTCTTCTCTTTGGTCTGCGGCTCGCCTCGCAGGTACCTGTGCAAGCTGCTCCCGACGCTGAACGAGGCGGTGGGCGCGGCGCGGGCTGCGCTGTGCCCGGAGGGCGTCTTCAACGCGACGAAGGGCCTGCGGGTGCCGCTGCCGAAAGGCGGGGCGAGTTCACTACGGGAGGGGGAGTGCAAAGGAGGAGGAGCAGGAGGAGGAGGAGCAGGAGCAGGAGCAGGAGGAGCAAGGAGTGCAAAGGAGGAGGAGGAGCAGGAGGAGCAGGAGGATCACTTTTCTGTGGCCGTCCAGGTGTTCGACGCTCGCGAGGTGCGCCACGCGTGCCCGGTGCCCCGGGGGGCTGGGCGCGCCTGGCGGTCCAGGTGCGCCACCTGCGCCAGGAGGCGCCAACTGCTCCAGCCGCAGTCGAGACGCTGAAAGAACGGCCATGGCTCGAGGAAGAGACAGCGCCACAACGCGGATTTCTTGGATCAGCGCTGGGCGCGCCTGGCGGCCCACGTGAACCACCTGCGCCAGGAGGCGCCACCTGCTCCAGCCGCGGTCAAGACGCTGAAGTAACGGCCATGGCTCGAGGAAGAGACAGCGCCAGAAGCGCGGATGTCTCGGATCAGCGCTGGGCGACGCCTCCGGCGCCGCACCTGGCGCGCTCCGCTCGCCAGGGAGGGGGGGTCCGGTGCAACTCCAAGAAATTCGCGCGGAGCTTCGAAAGTTTGTATGCACGCCGTTGCTTCTTCTAATATAAGGAGCGGCTCTGGTTGTTGCGCCGTTTCTCAGGACTGGGCCGGGCATCCTCTCCGCGGCCGATGTTCGCGGCGGCCAGGGAAGCCCCGTTCGTTCCGTATGCAGTGCGCCTCATGGTACCACGATGGTTGTTTGAAACAGTGGTCTGTAAGTCTCTCTCTTTCCCTCTCTCTCTCTCTCTTTCTGACTCCATCACTCTCTCACTCTCTCTCCCTTTGTCTCTCTCTCTCTCTATCTCTCTCTCCCGGCTCGTTCCTACTTGAAGTACTGGCCTGGGGTGCACGGATGCAGCGCAGTCTCCGCGTACAGGTGGGTGACAATGGTCGCCGGGATCCCACCTCGACCATCGCTAGCTACCACATTGTCACGGTGTCGTTCGTCAGACTTTGCCCTAACCATTGACAGTCTTGCTACCCCTTTCTAATCAAACTGCGTTCGGCAAGGCCAATCACCGTGCCAGCGCAGCACTCTGTCTGGCTACGCCCAGAAAGTTGTAATGTATGAAACCTCTCGTCCATAGATTCCTTGAGGAGGCTCTCATGAGGCCTACCTGTGCCGTCTTGGGGCTACCCTGGGCCCATGTAGTGCCGTCTTGGGGTGTCTTGGGTATTCTCTATATTTGGGCTCTCTTGGGATGTCCTGGGCCGTATGGGAGGCGTTTGAAGGCCCTGGAAGGCCTTTGTGTAAACATCTTGAGCCGAGAGAGGCCATAATAATACGATATTCGAACCGGTTGATGACTAGTGATTGGAGAGCAGTTTGGGTATTCTTGGAAGGTCTCTTAGTTGTTCCTGTGTCTTCTTGGACTCATCCTCGCGCCTCTTGGGGTCGTATTGGGAGCTGTTGGGTGACAATTGGGGCAGTGTTGGCACAGTGTTCGGCCATCCTGGCGGCCTTGGTGGCCTTCCCGGCAGCCTTGGAAGCATTGGAGGATCTTTGGAGGGCCCCAGGGAGGCGTGGGGGCGTCCAGGGAGCCTCGGAACGGGACGGGGCGAAGCCCACGGGGGAGCGGCGTGATGAGAGCGGGGGCTTCAGAAGATTTACAGAGACCCCACCAGACATCATTTGACACCCTGCCACGCCCCAGCGTGAAGTTGGGCACGGTGGCAGGTACCCTTTCGGTCGACCATGCGTTTTCTCCACCTCGTAGTCCGCGTCGTGGCCCTCCTCTCGTCATGGCCACTATCATGACACTTTGTTCTTACGATCAGGCGAGCTGTTTCGTACACGCTCCTCCAGCACAGGGTTGGAGGGCGATTTGTAGCTTTGACTCCCAAGCCAGTGTCTACATGTAAATCGTTTAAACGCTGCCTTTGAAGTCGGACTTGGGAGTGCCCAGGGCCGAATGATCGCAACCATTCGGTTCCGAGCCACTTTTCCAGAGCATCAGCATTGGCAAGATGGTCACGTGGGCATCCGATTGCCCCGAGAATGCTTCAACTAGTGCGGCTAAGTTTGCAGATGTAGCGATTTTCTGACGTCCAATGTCGCAGCACTGGCTGTAGTGCCCAATGTATCTGCAGCCGATCCTCGCCCCATGCTGTTGTTTTCCAAGATTTGGGTATTTCACGTGTGATGGTGCTGTTGCAATTGCCCATAGCATCCCTTCGCGAGAGTGTGTGTGTGTGTGTGCGTGCGTGCGTGCGTGCGTGCGTGCGTGCGTCTCTCTGTCGGTCTGTCTGTCTGTCTGTCTGCCTGCCTGCCTGCCTGTCTGTTTGTCTGTCTGTCTGTCTGTCTGTCTGTCTGTCTGTCTGTCTGTCTGTCTGTCTGTCTGTGCGTGTCATATGTCCTCGCTGCGTTCTTGGATTTCTCGTTCACTTTACCGAGATACAGCTAGTTTTGCCACTTGGCACGGGCGCAGGCGAATTCTATGCTGCCTTGAGCGAGTTCTTCAAAGGCAACACATGACGAATCGCCTCGTTGAAAAGCATCCGGTGCATTCTCTTCATCGTCACCACAGTCACTCCAGCTGCAACCACTGGCATTGGTCATGCCAGCATTTCACGTGATGGAGCCATTGCCCTAGATGGAATGCTTGCGCAGTTCAGCGCCTACCGGAATCGAACTTGTTGTGGTGGTTGTCATGTGTCTTGCAATATGAAGAAAGTACCCATCTACGCCATTGATGGTACAGACGTCGCGTGGCGTGGAGCACATGACTAGCATCCATGCTCTGATAGCTTACGCAAGCCCATGTTATTGCTTCCACGCTTTCAGGAGCACAAGAGTGCGAGTCGTGGTATGTTGCATCAAGTTCATTGGGCATGTAGGTGGTGTTGGTTTCGAATGTCACAGTTTGTGGCCATGGCAGTGTGCGGGTGGTTTGAGTAGATCTTGCTAGCTAACATTTCTATGTACATAGGTGTTAGTTCCGCAAGCGTCGGGAAATCTATTAGATCGGGTCGGAATTCGTTCCACCGAACCGTTTTCTCATTCAGGTTGGCGCCCTCGTTCATCATTGGCGGTGCTGCCGCGTTGCTACCCAAGGGGATGCAGGAAAGGGTGGACTGATGAAGGAAGGGGCATGCCAGGAGGCAGGGAGGGAGAGAGAGAGGCAGAGAGAGACAGCGATAGCGAGATATAGAGGGAGAGAGACATATATGTAGAGAGAGAGAGAGATATGGAGCAAGCGACACGCGCACGGCAGCCAGCCCCGCAAACGGCGGGCGGGGTTGGCAATAGGCGGCCGCGGGAGCGGCGATGACGCGGAGTGCGACCAGGGGGCGGAAGGCATCGAGGAGAGGTTTCTTGAGTCGGCCCTTCAGCCATCGTTTGGCGAGCTTTCGACCCCTATTTAGCACTGTGCTGCTTGCTTGAGCCAGGACGGAGCGGCTGGGTGCAGAGTGATACATGTGGGGAGCACAGTACGGCTAGAATAAGTTGCATTGCGCCCGATGTTTTCCCTATAGAGGGAAGGGGAAAGGAGCATGATGGAGACGAATGACACATCGAGGTGCAGGGTGCGGATCGCACGCAAGTTGTCATGACAGGCCCAGCGGCCGACTGCGAGACAAGCAAGTCAGGAGCAAGGAAGTAGTTGTTGGGCGACTGCACCGTCGGGCTCTCTGGCCAGCCGCGCAGATCTTCGCGGTGGGCACCCCAGCAGATTGGGCTCGAGCGTCCCCGATGCGGTGCCCTTTGCAGGCCGGAGGGGGGCTGGCGCCCGCTGGAGTCAGTCCGCCCGTGCCGAGCGGGAGGCCTGACATGTTTTCTTCCCGTTGCTTGGCCCTCGTGCCTGCCCCGTGCGCCCCGTCAAGATGTGTCCAATCCTCCTTCTCCCTCCCCTCCTCTCCCTGTCCCTCCTCTCCCCCCCCTCCGAATCCATCTCTGGCTTCCGCCTCCACGCGCACGCTCCCGCATTGCTTTCACACTGCACCCGCACTGCCCACCCCGCCCCCGCAAGCCTCACAGCAGCAAGTCGTGCTACTCCTCTGGGGTGCGTTCTCGTAGAGTGGCCATGTTGGTCCATGTTGGCGCTTGTGGGAAGTGCTTTGGGTCGGGCTGGGCCGTTGCCGAGGCGGAGCAGTCTGGGGACGCTTCTGGGCGGTCCTGGGCTGGTCCAGAGCGCTGGTGCGGGGCGGGCGTCGGCGGACGGAAGGCTGGACACGCGAGAGCGCGAGAGCCGCTCCGAAACCTGACTGGAGCCGATGAGGGTTGCCTCTCCGGGCTTGATGCTGGGATCGGCGCGGGGGATACTGAGGGGAGGGGGGTGACCAGTTGACGCCAAGGCGGGTCGCCCCTGGCTAACCTAGATTACGAGTGGTTCGAGGTTCCATCAAGTGTCATAACGGAGTCAACGATCTGGGCAAAGTGGGCTCCGCCCACTTCGCGGAGTTATCTAACCCCCTCGGCCACTTGGGGAAATGTTTAACCCACTCATAGGTTAGATATTATCCACCTCAGCATCCACTGATCGCCCCCGTACCCCCTCGGCAACCCCTGGAGGCCCACTGGAGGCCTCAGTGGGCGCATCCGGGGTCGTCGTGAGCCCGTCTGAGGCGGGTGTGTACCCTCGCGAGGCGTCTCGGAGCTCTCCTGGACCGTCTTGGGGCCATAGTGGTGGATGTTCGCGCATGTGGTAGTTGTTGTGGGGCAGGCGCGACCATTTCGGAGAATAGCACGAGGAATGGGAGACGGCAGAGGACGAGGGGGAGGTGGATAGGGATGGTGAGCAGGAAAAAGAGGAGGAGGAGGAGGAGGAGGAGGAGGAGGAGGAAGGTGAGGAGGAAGGTGAGAGGGAGAAGGGGACGGATGAGGACGACGACGGAGGAGGAGGAGGCGGTCATGGAGTTGGGGCCGTGTTGGGAGGTGACAGCAGGATCGGGCGTGGTTCGATCCCACAACAGTGGTTGAGTTGTGGGTCGGAGGCTTCGTTAGGATGCATCTCGGGGTCTCTCGAACAGGAGGAAGGCGAGAGGGAAAGGGAGAGGGAGCAGGAGGAGAAGGAGCAGGACGTTGGGGACATGCTGGAAGGTGACAGCAGGATCGGGCGTGGTACACATCGAGTGGCCGTCGACCCATGTCGCCACCATGCTGGTCAGAGGCGTCTGTGGAGGCATGCGTAGGGCCCCTGGGGATGGCTTGCGAGGCTTGGAGGCATTTGGGGGTCATCTTGGGGGGGTCTTGGGGCCGTCTGGGGGCCTCTTGGAGGTATGTTTCGAGTTTGTGGGCAATATTTGGTGGACAGTCTGCCGAAAGCCCTTGGCTTCTCCCGTCGGGGGGCACCTCTGGAGATCCTATTGGGAGCTTCTTGGGCCCTCTTGGAGGCCTCATGGGTCGTCGGGGGGCCCTCTTGGGCCGTATTGCGGACCTTTGGGGAGCCCATCCGGCCGTCTTGCGGCGGTGTTGGGGGCATCTGATGCCGTCTTGGCGCGTCATCAAAGTAAGGAGGCCGAACGGTCATTCAGTGTTCCTGGGCGCTCGGAAGAAATGGGCTTCCGCGGTGGAGATTGCTGTTGCGTTATTATCAAATTTCATGTTTAAAGCATGATGATTGTTGTTCCCCCCTGCCCGGTGCACCTTGTGTTTTTCCCAACCTTCCGTTGTTGGGTTCTCGTTGTGAATAGAGCACCGTGGTCCCGTCTCCCCTCCTTCCCGCCCCCTTCTCGCCTTCCCCCTGAGGGGATGTGACTTGGGGGGCCAGCTTGGTGCGGTGCTACGGAGATCACAGCGGGACCTCGCCAGCTCTGGGGAGCTGCGATCTACGACACCGTCGCCACTTTCGAGGGCTGCTGGGGGGGCCAGCAAAGTGAGGCCCCACCCAGATTCAGATTGGATCTCGCCGTCCCTGGTGGGCTCTGGTCTGCGAAATTATCGCCACTTTCGAGGGCTGCTGTGGGGGGCAGTATACTGGGGCGCTGCCCGCGACTGTGACGTAATCCCACCAGCTCTCTGGGCGTCGGTGGTTTAGGGCGTTTCCTCTTCCACCCCTCCCTCTTCCCCTTCGGGGAGGGGTTTACCCCTCCCCCTACCCCCCCCCTCCTGGGCCTGGACGGGGGGCGCCGCGGGTAGTTAGGCCGTCCAAGGCGGCCTCGGCGAGGAAGCCAAAATCATTGATTTACTATGGTTTTGGCCCCATTTGGGCTTCCGGGGGGGGGCACCTTAATTGAGGGACCCCTGTTCGTTGACCGATCTCCTCCAAGATGGCCCCAAGAAGCGCCCAGGAGGCCCTTGTTGTGGTTGATGGCGACACGGTGCCTATGCCGTAGACGCCCTCGGCCGGAGGCTGAGAAAAGTCAAATGGGGTTAAGAAGAGACCACCCTGGAGCCGCCGCGAGGCCACCCCGGGGTGGAATCAACACTGAAAAAGCCAAGCAGGGCAACCAGCAGCCGAGGAGGAGACTACTGGCCGCCGCACTGGCCCTGGCCCCCGTCTGTGTGAAAGGCGGTGGCCAAATCGCCAGCCGCAGTCAGGGATATCAGTTGTCAAGCTGATGAGTCATGTAAGGGGCACGCTTAGGTGCCAGCGGAAATTAGGCTATACAAGCCGAGTATGGGCGAACCCCCCGAAGAAGAAGACGACGACGAACCGAACCCCCCGCAACACGGGACCCCCCCCTCCGCAGCCGCATCCCCTGCGCGAGCCGCACCACACCGGCGGGGATCCGCGCGCCTTATGCCCAGGCTCCCCCCCGGAAGGGGAGCCAGCAACCAGGCGTCGGCAGATCGCAGCACAACCAGTGTAGATTGGGGCGCAGGGAGGAAGGCACGAAGCGTCAAGGAGCCCCGCGCGCAAAGGAGCCCGACGCGTCGCGCGGCCCCTCCCCCAGCGGGCCCGGGATCCCAAACCCGGAGTCACAGCGGCAGGCCCTCCTCTGGCCGCCCGCGTCAGGGCAAAGCCCCCGTCCATGCACGCCCCTGCCCCTCAGTGGAGGCAAGGGCCGTCTCCGGATGCCGCTGGGCGGCTCTGTAGACGCCGCGCAAGGCACGGCCCCGGCCCTCCGGAGGGGCGTAGGGGGGTGGGGCACTGGCGTGCCTGCCCGCGGCCGCTCAGCTTGCGCCGAGGAGCCGCACGTCCCAGCTGCCCAGGACGTCCCAAGAGGTCCCAAGATGGCCCCAAGATGGCCCCAAGAGGCCCCCAAGAAGCCCCCAGGAGGCCCCCAAGAAGACCCTAAGCGGCCCCAAGTGGCCCCCCCCGAGGCACCCAAGACCCCGAAGAGCCCCCCAGGATCGCCAAGAGACCCCCAAGACGTCCCAAGAGGCCACCAATAATCGCCCAAGAGATACCCCAAGCGGTTCCGAGAGGCATCCAAGAGACCTCTGGCCATTGTGCTTGCCCTCCTCCTCCTCCTCCTCCTCCTCCTCCTCCTCCTCCTCCTCTCCTCCTCCGTTCCTCCTTCCTGCTTCTACTCCTTTCCGTCCTCCTCCTCCCTCCTCCTCCTCCTCCTCCTCCTCCTCCTCCTCCTCCT